GACAGACAGACAGACAGACAGACAGACAGACAGACAGACAGACAGACAGACAGACAGACAGACAGACAGACAGACAGACAGACAGACAGACAGACAGACAGACAGACAGACAGACAGACAGACAGACAGACAGACAGACAGATAGATAGATAGATAGATAGATAGATAGATAGATAGATAGATAGGAGTTTGTACTTGTGATTTTTTTTTCTTTATTCTCAACAATCCTTTTGCGGCACAGTAAACGTCTGACTACTTGTTTCTGTTTCTCTATAAAGTGAATAAAACATTATTTTCCGTCCATTCACTCTGAAAAATCTTAATTTTCTTAAATCTACTCGCCACTTATTTTAGCTGTTAAATAAACTTCTGGTAGTGTGCTTAACTAACGTGACTTTTACTGACGTCACCTATCCAAAGTGCAACATTACTGACTTGCACAGGTGAAATGAGTCAATCACCCAACTGCTTACATGTTTGCTATTGGAAATGACAGATGCAAATTTCCACTGACTTAATATTTATAGGCTCAAGGTATAGACTTATAAGATCAAATAATTTTTTAGCAAGAAAATAGAACTGATGCAATATCTAAAGGCCAACAACTCTCACTTTTCACACACACTGTGTTTTTGACGTGTTGCAATGGATAAAGTCAGAATGACAATACAAACTTCTTAAACCTAAGTAGCCGTTTACCCCTTATTCTATTTTATTGAAGGAGCACCCAGAAGAGCAGGGTGGTAAAATGACCAAAGCATAATTTTTCTCACTCTCACAGAAACACAAACAGCATTTGTTATTATTTAAGACCTTACATAAAAGTGAGAGGGTAGACCCAAAAATGCATAGATGTGATAAACGGACTTTACTCAACACACATACAAAGACTTCCGGGACCACTGACTGCAGACTTAAAGATGGTATTGATTGGCTTTGGAGACAGAGGGAAACCATAAAAAAGCAGAATGGAATGACTTAAACTTTTAAACTCTACAGTACACAGTTTAACCGACATAACTTTGACGTCAGTGCTACATTGTTACTTAACGCCTTACGCACTAAAGATTCTCACATTTCAAAATAAAGCAGGCATTTATTCCAAAAAGAACATACATTTTTCACTTTGTCACATTCACAAAAATACACGAGAGTGGAGTAAGATCAATCTCTTTCTTTGACACAGTAATAATAATTCCATAAATGTTTAAAAATCAGAATTGGAAACTGGGCATATCCCTACTATAAATAATTAAGATTTCTGTTCCATTAATAACATGGTGACACTTGCCCAAAGAAATATCAGAATCCACAGGAAAGGAATATGTCTTTGTCATTAGAATGTATAAATATTTAAAAGACTGGTTAGATATTTTATTTTTTTGTTGCACTGCTGCCTTAAAAAAAACCCTGTCTTCTAGCTTGCTTTAAATCAGCTCTGAAATCTGACATGTAATCATAGGTCATGTGGATCGGACATACATTTTTTATTATGTAATGTAAGATGTGTCAAGCTCTGTAGTAACATAATCCATTCAGGAAAAAATACAGTACAGCTACATTTAAATTCCCTTAGAGATGCTTTACTTGTTTATCCTTTGCTGCCCTTCCAGTGTGAGTACCTTTAAAAAGCATGATCAGATCCAATAACAAACCCAGTAATTACAAACAACATGCATGATGGGGGATTTATTAGCAGAACTAGGGTGACATAATAAAAGAGTTTAACATAATGCTGATCTGTAAGTTTTT